CAAATGTCTGAATATTAAATATACAATTAAAAATGTCTTCAATGTATTTGCAGTCGGGGGACTTCGCAGCCCTGTGAAAGGAGGAACCTATAAGAAGCCACTGGGGAAGCCAGATAAGTCAGACCCCGCCCATTCAGCCACACCCACCCCATCCCACCTCGCCACATCTTCTCATAACTCTAAGCTGCAGTGGATGAGCTCAGAGAAGAAGAAAGAAGGTGATGATGGGGAACGTAATGACAAACCATACAGGGTAAAGCAGAGGAAAAACGTAGAGGAGACAAGGAACGATGACCACTCTCCTCCGAAGTCACTGCATCACATTCAGGCCACTTCACCTGAGCTGCCAATCATCAATAAAACCAAGCCAGAACAAGAGATGCGGAGACTGGAGATAGGTGAGCAGCCCGTCACATCCGATCATGTGATATTCAATGCAGACTTCAAAAAAAAAAAAAAAAAAAATTGAATGGTACTGTGTAATATATAACGTGTGGATTCAGAATAACCATACAATTTCAGATGAGATTTTTTTTGGACGTGCATTTGGTATTTTATTCTATGCCATATCCCAATTCTGTCAGGATCGCTATCGTCAGATACGATCGGCAATTAGCGGCGGTATGGTTCTGTTCTGGGCGAGAACTCCCTGTGCATCCATGCAATCTAGCATGGATAAGAGCAGCAATAGCCCCTCTAAGGGTAAACAGAACAGAACCAACATGAATGTATTGCAGACAGTGTTGGGAGTAACGCATTACAAAAGTAATACATTACAGTAACATATTACTTTTTGCTGTAACGCAGTAGTGTAAGGCATTACTAATCAATTTTCAGTAATATTTTACTCGTTACATGTTCAGTGAGGCTTGTATTACAGTGAGGCTTGTTCTATCTTCCATGTAGACTGGAGAGCCAACCCTTCCTCATCCGATTTGCGCAGTGTAATTAACAGAATTCCAAATAAAATATAGTTTGCCTCCTATTTTTTTGTCACGCATGAATGTGTGTCTTTTCCCTAATATCAAAAATAAAACATAGACTGATATTTGTCTAATGTCTGGAGTCCTTTAAGGAAGTAGCCTATATACGTTTCAATACATTATGTATTTTCTGAGAATTTTTATTTCAAGTTTTGACTGCAAATGTCATGTCCATAATGCTGGACTTCCCCAATTTTAAATAATTTATCCTATACTAGTTTTGTGGTGTAGGTCTACGCATTTTATAATGTTAACTTCAAATAATACTAATAGCCTAATTTAAAGATAAGGCAGCATTGGATCTGGACGGTAAGGAGAATAACGCTGGAGTTGGAAGAGGTGTGTCGCGATTCTGTAGGTTCGTGGATCTAAGTGCGGCCAATCGCGATTTTATATTGCATATCATTAGAAGCCCCAAAGTTAAGTTCTACTTCTGTAGTTATTTTGGTGAAAGTAACTCAAAAGTAATACATGAGTAATGTAACGCATTACAATTCTGAGACAGTAATATTGTAAGGTAATGAATTACTTTTAAATAACAGTAACAAGTAATACCTAATGTATTACAGTTTGGAAGTAACTTGCACAACACTGATTGCAGATATCATTAATTTCAAGATTTTAAAGTACAACTGAACATAATTGGAGAATTTATTCTGATTCAAGAGGAATCAAAATGCCAAATCCTAACTGGGCGAGAGGAGGAGCTGTGGATGGAGGAGGGTAATTCGCTCCTGATATATAACACTGAAGGAGCAGTATATATGTATACAGTGATAGGTGTCATATTCCTATAGGTAGACGTGGATCAGCTAATGCAAACTTGACTAAAGTGACCTGCCAGAACTGACGCTATGCTTGATAATTAGCATCAGAAATATGTGGATGGAAACAAGCTGCTTGTTAATATTCATTCGGGACCGTAGCATTGCAGATTATAATTGTAACATTCAGTTTGGTCTCTCTCTCTCTCTCTGCAGATTTTTTCCTGAGTAGTCTCTCCCAGCCTCATTCTGCTGAGATACAGGAGCAGCTACTCTCTTGTCTCAGTAACGACTGCCTCTCCACTAGAGAATATGGTGACAAAAAGGTAAACCAACCCAGGCATGAAGTTCAGAATGCTGGATATGAGGCAGCCTGTAATTCCTTCTAACCTGATCCTTGTCTTGTAAATAAAATGTAATTAAGAGTGATAGTTAAGACCGAACTTCCTGTCTTCCATCTCACTTTGACCAAAAACAACTTGTTTGAAATTCAAAGGGTTTCACGCCTTTTTTTTTTTTCCTCCAGGATTCAGGACGTTGGTCAGTCGGCGCTGGCGATGACGACAGCTCAGGCGTGTTTTCCAACAACAGCCAAGATGTCCAGAGCTTCAGCAGGGACTGGCTCGCCCCCACGCATCAACCTCCGCCCCGCTGCTTTGAGGGTGTGTGAACAAATGCTAATTACTTTAGAGAAATGCAAAGAAAGCATCATTACATAACAAATGGTTTGGCAGTGAAATTTTACAATACTCATTATCCAACATGGCATCATGACTTTTGCGTAAACATACACGCCACTTTCAAGTCAAGTAGCGTGTTATTTATACAAATTTTGAGCTATCCGCGTGTATGCGTGTATGTCTGCGCCATTAAATGTCCGAGTGATTCCGCGTGTATGTACACGCCATTAAATGTCCGAGCGAAACAAAGCAAAATGTAGATCTACATCTGGGGAGCGATCTTTTTTTCCTTGGATGGTAGGGGAAGACTCAAATGCCATTAACCCCAGTGACGGGTAGGTTTAGGGACGGGGTTGAGGCAAGTCATATAATTACATATACAGTAATAACGTTAAGTCAACGGCGTTTATAAACACGCTAATAAGCGATTATGCGTGTTGATAGCACGCCAAAAAAACGAAAATACGAATTGGCGTGTCATACATACGCCATTTCATGAGATCAGTCTGTAATATCACTGCAACAAAATATTATGCTATCAAATACACTTTATTTAAAGTTGAATAATAGTATAAATATTAACAAATTAACTTAAAACAATGGCATGTACACTAAAATGTTGTTTACGATAACAAAATTATTTAGTTTATTTTCGTATTTACGCACTTTTTTATGATGATAACGCGGCTTTTAACGAAAGTCTTACTGGTTTGGAACGACATGAGTGTGAGTAAATAATTACTCAGACAGTTTTTTTTTGGGGGGGGGGGTGAACTAATCATTTAATAAAGAAAAAAATATGAAATCAACAGCAGTTTCATTATTATAAACTATATCAGGTCTCGGTCAAATGCACACGTTCCATTTTTAATCACATGTTTGTTTTGTTTTCTTTTGGTATAAACCAGTGCTTTTGTCACATAACTCGATTAACACATTTTTAGATATTTTTAGAAATCATTTATCGTGGCTCATTGTGCCATGCTCACATCTGTTCTTTGTTTATTCAGGGTTAGATGTTTATATCAGGGACTTTGATGGGAAATTTTATCATATTCGGGAGACGCCCAGGGTGAAAGTAGGCCACATCGCAAGAGGAATCAGCGATCAGGTAAACACTGTGTGTGTGTAGTGTTTATGCAAAACATTACTCCGTGTTTGCTAGAAAATAATATCTTCTCTCTCGGGCAGATCTCAGAGAACGTGTTCAGTATGCAAACAGAGGATGGTTGCATGGTGCCCCATGACAAAGAGGTCGTAGAGAACGGCCTGTTGCTGCGTTGTGTCCCTGCCCCTGACTCCTGCCACTATAGTCAGTATGGAAACAAGCCTTGCTGCACCCTCGCACCCGACTGCAAACAACAGTGGAGCTGGAGGATCAGGGAGGGGGTGCTGGAGACGAGAGACTGATCTCTCCATCCTCAATCTGTTTCCGTTCCAGTCAAAATACCTAGTACTGAAGTTGAACTGAACTTGTATTCATGAATCTCATCTGTTAAACTTTTAAACCATTTTCGTATTTTGGTTTACATTCTTATTATTTTGACATAGTTTTAACTGACCATGCAGGTATTTTCTGTGCCGTGTTGTGAAGATCATCATTTCATAATTAACGGCAAGATTGAAAGTCAATCATGTGAAACTGAAAAGCACTTACGAATTAGTTTACAATATCAATATGGTTGAGCTGTGGGACATTAAGATGAATATCAAAATTGGAAATAATCTTGGATCTCCTTGCCATGAGTGGATTATCTGCATTTTAAAGATTCAATAAAAACTAAATTTTTATATTTTTTCGCGGTTGTCTCAATTATCTGTGATTGATAATAGATGTGTTCAGTATAGTTGTACTTGAAAAAGCTTATTTATTTAGAAGTCAAGCAAATGTCGGAAGTAAAATGGTTAGCTGGAACATGTCAACATTAAAAAACAGATTAACATTACATCAGTGTTATTTTTAGGATTACTAGCTTTTATTTTATTTCAGTTCACTTGTTTTAATCTTAGTTTAGTTTATTTTGCTAAGCTTTTTCATTTCTATTAGTTGTTTTTTTTAATAAAGTAATTTTAGTACTTAGACCACTGATATATGATTTTATATGAACTTATTTCAGTTCAACTTATTTCGGTCTAATATTTACATCTTATTTCAACTTTATTTTAACTTTAAAATGTTTTATAGTTTTATTTTAAAAACAAAAAAAATATATAGTCAAAGCTACATTCATTTTTCATGATTTCAAAGATATTTTAAAGGAAAGGATTATTTTTTAAATGCTTCCAATTATTTAGCAGACAAATGTATGGGAAATGTATTACAGCTAACAAGTGTCTCACCTTAGAAACATTTAAACATCATTTTAGAAACATCCCAGGATGCACCTTATGAAGTCTTCTTAAATAAACCCATAGTGAAAACTATATAGTTTTCTTTGTTTAATATTCACTACTTAATTCCTATACTTTTGCTTGTAATTTCATAGTTCTAAATCTTTTACCATTATTTTAAAATGTGGAAAACAAATTATAATAAAGAGTAGCTGCGTCAAAAAAAATCGAAACACCACACGTTTAAATTGAAATCCATAAAAACAATTTATTTTTTCATTTTACATCTTACAAAACAAACTCATGGGCTCACAGCATGTAGACTGCCTTAGGGTGCACAATTGATACCATTTTACAAAGATGTAGAAAAAGCTGAAAAAAGGGGTGGCTAGTATCATAAAAAGGCCAAGGCACTGTCAACGAAAGAATCAAAAATAAAAGAAACTGTATCCAAACAACCAAAAGAGAAAGAAACAAGTACATAAAAAGAACGATTGCATGTAAAGGTAGGACTGTGGGTCTGACTAACCATGGTTAAAATACAGTACTAAGAAGACTTTGCTGAGGGGAAGTCTCAACTGATCTGTGACGAGTCTGCCCATGCGCTATCATTTAAACACCGAATGTTTGCACCAGCGCAAGCGAAACTAACTGCTTTTCTAAGTGTTTTGATAGTCAAGCAGGACCCTCCACTATTCGAAAAGGAAAATATTTGGTTCTGTAAAAAACGCTGTCTTCATGGCTCAGAGAAGTATAATGCATTTAAGAATCACTAGTATTGTCCATCCCTGTTGTAGGAGGGGCTCGACGCTCACGCAAACTAAGACACGCCCACATACTGCAACCAGAGTGCTGATTGGTTGGCTGCAATGCTCAAACGCTGCTGCAAACACTTCATAAACGGCTAAAAATGTACCTTCAAGTATAATCAACTTCGTTGTTGTTTCTTAGCCCCTGCTGCGATGAACTGGCGAACTAAGAAAGAAGAGGAGGAATGAGGAAGAGGAGAAATTCAAATAGCAGAAAAACAGCCTGAGCCCATTCCTACTCTTTCAGATGACAGATGGTATGCTCAAAAAGAGAGACAAATATTACAATAATTCAACACTTATGAGCTATTATATTTTTTTTTCATTAAACGCAACTGTGACTGTTATTACTCACTTTGAAGAAAAAAAAAAAAAAAAAAAAATATGACTCCTAAATGAATCAGAACAATGTTAATAAATTAAATCAAATACCAATAAAGTATTTTATATAACCAAGATATCCATAACCGCATCCTAAAAATAAATAGCTAAAATTAAGCCTAAACCTGAACTCTTGTGCATTAATCTCTCGCCAATAAAGTATTTTATATAACCAAGATATCCATAACCCCATACTAAAAATAAATAGCTAAAATTAGGCCTAAACTTGAACTCTTGTGCATTAATCTCTCGTTTTACAGTGCAAATGTTATAAGTTGTAGATGAGAAAGGGTACAGGCTCAGGAGTAAAAAGAGTGGCTCAAGACATCTGCATCATGCTCTTTCTTTCCTCCTCTTCTCTCTCTCTTTCTTTCTTTCAGTGATTTGATGTCATTTTCAACTCTCTTATTTCTCTTTCTCCGTATATATCCCCCCCCAAGCTTGCTGGTCTGTCTCACCCTCTGTTCACTGTCTTAATTCCCTCTTCTCTCAATCTCCACCTTCTTATAAGTCCTCGTGCTCACATCTTGCGGATCACCACTACTGTGGTGAGAACTCCGGCCAGGAAAACCCCGATAGTTTGCCATGTGGGGGTCCCAAAATAGGAGCGGATTCCCTCCTAAAGGAGAAGAAATGGGATGTTTCAGATGGCAAGAGTAGAAGAGCATTTAATGCAGAGAAAATTACATTAGCTTAAAAAAATGATATAAGAGTCAATAACAGATACATGATAATAAAAGGGGAAAAAAGGCTACAAATATAACACATCAAGTTCTTAGAAAAGTTATTCTTGTATTAATGATTACCCATTTAAATTTTCTTTTAATATACATTATATATATATATTACACACAAACACACATGCACACATTTCATTAAATAATGTAAGAAATCTTGAAAACCCATATTCATTATTATTTTCAAGGTGACTTCAAAAAAAGAAAAATATATTATTGATTATATTATATATTTTTATAATTATATATATATATATATATATAATTATTTTATATATAATCTATAAAATATATATTATAAATGATATATTTTCTAGATTATATATTATTAATTATATAAATTCCATTACATTTCTATGCTGACATAATCAAAGACAAATGGATGTGGTAATTAATAATAACCAATAAATTCTGCCAAACAATTTAACCAAATAAAAACAAAAACAAAAAAACACTACTGTTCAAAAGTTTGTGGTCGATACAATTTTGAAAGGTTTTTTTAGGCTGAATTTATTTGATCAAAAATATAGTAAAAACAGTTGATTTATGATTAATTGATTTCTATTTTAATCTATTTAAAAATGTCATTTATTCCTGTAATTCAAAGCTGAATTTTGAGCATCATTACTCAGTTTCACATGTTCCTTCAGAAATCATTCTAATATGATGATTTGCTTTGTGGAAACCCTGATACACTTTATTTAGGATTCTTAGATGAATAGAAAGATCTATTAGAAAACTTTTGTAAAAGTAACATCATTAAAGTTTTGCTGACATTTTTGATCAATTTAATGCATCCTTGTGGTATGAAATTCTCATCCTTCAAAAAAATAAATTAAAAAGAATGACAGGCCCCAAACCTTTTTTTAACTGTAGTGTGTGTGTACAGTACTGCCTGAATTCTGAGCTTCACATTACGGAAGTTAAATGTTCATGTTGTTTTGTGTCTTTTGTTTATCTCGGTATCAGTGTTTTTGGTAAAGGTCACTGTGGCCTGTGTGGAAATATCACATCGACACTGACATTTCACATGATTCGAAGTCACTGTCATGGCTTACCCATCCACCCTGTTCCCTGATCCAGTTGACAACATGTTCCTGAATGTAGGACATAGTCCAGCTAATGATGGTTCTGATGATGTCAGGAACCTTGGTTAAAATAGCCTAGGAGTACAAGAAAAAAGAAAGATGAATATTTCGAAAATCAAAACAATCTATTTCAATATGAGACTTAGCTTGCATAGGACTTTACTTTGATGACAAGCCGGCACGCAAAGTAGAAAAGCGCCACCACCCTGCCCCAGTTGAACTTCCCATCAGAGAAGATCTCACGGGCCACTTTCATGAAGACGTCTTGAGTCGGTTGAAGAGCAGAGTCATTTAACATCCTATAGCAAAACGACAGTGAGGATGAGTTGCAGCACACTGCCATCCAGTGGGCATTTCTGAACACAGCAGGTTCACAGCTGGAACCCTAACTTACCTTTGGAGCTGCGTATTTCCATCCAGCTCATCTCCGATCTGCTGCAAACACTGCGCAAGACGTTTATGGCTGGGGTCACACAGCTCAACTCCACCCAACTGACCCTGGGTTACTTCAGCATCACCATGGCGACGAACCCGTTCATAGATGAAGCTGCAAGACAGGGGCGAGATGACTGATGTAATGAACAAAAACAAACAACATGAGAAATGAGAAGTGAAGAGAAGATGATACTCACTTATTGAGAAGTGCAGAACCCAAGGCAAGTATCTGGTCATTGGCATTGCCTTCAAATGACAGGAAATAATAAGGATTAAAAACAGGATACGAGTAAAAAGACTTGTATCATGATACGAGTAAAAAGACTCAGTATTAAAAAAGTTTCACCTTTTTATCTAAAAAAATCTGAATTATTTTCAATTAGATATTGTTATAAAGTCCAAATTCTGACTTTAAATTGGCTACTAAGGACCCCCATGAAAACGAGATATTTCATCTCATGGAGCTGATCCTCTAATAAATGTTTATAAATAAATAAATAAATTTGAGATTTTATAACCGCACAATTCTGACTTCATAACTTGTAATTGCGAGTTTATATTATGCAATTCTGAATTGCGAGATAGTCAAAATGATCATTTTTATTTTTTATTCTGTGGCGGAAACAAGCTTCCATAGATAAGTATCTGACAGTGGAGTTGTTCTATATTGTTTGTAGCATGACTCAGTGAATAATTCTGCATACATTTGGTTTCAGTTTCTAAGTGAGTAAAGAGTCAGATGTAAAGAAACTAATATGCATGAGCATGACTCGCTTAACCTAAATTTCATAAATAACTAATTTTATAATTACATTTCATAAATAACTAATTTTGACCATTAATTCACATATTTGAATATTCCGTCAAAATCACAAGTCTATTGCTGACCTAAAAGAGGGTCACCCAAAAATGAAAAATCCCTTAAATCAGTTAAGTTTTAACGTAACATTAAATATATATATATATATATATATCATGATGGAAATCTGTTTTATTAAGACAGCAGGAGCGTTTTAAAGGGATAGTTCCCCCCCAAAATGACAATTCTGTCATTATGTCCAAACGTTAGGCAGAATGACAGCCTCGGGGACCATTCACGTTCATTATACGGAACAAGATGCAATGAAAGTGAACAGTGACTGAGGCTGTTACACTGCCTAGCATCTCTTTATGTGTTGTTCAGAAGAAAGACAGTGATACAGGATTAATTTGGAACAACATACAATTAAGAGTTAACGATTACGTAATTTTAATCTTTAGGTGAACTATTACCTCTAAGACAGCAACCCAACTCGAAACCTGCATAATAAGGCCAGCTATCGCTGAGGTGAGTGTTTACTAACGTTACCCCAAGAGATCATCACTGAAACGATGATGTCACCTCTTCTGGAAATCAACAACATCGCGGTATCGGGCATGTGAGCACGGTCAACACACGAGCACAGAGGCTGTTTTCTAAAAACACAGTGTGCTGCCGGTCTAGACAGTATTTCTAGGCATCGTATCGAAAGTTCGGAACGCTCCAGTAACGTTATATGATGCTCGTACATTCGTTCGGTAACGTTACGCGGATGATGCACAAACTGTCTGAACAGGCGGCTCACTTTAAAACAGCCAAATAAGACTGCGGTTTCCTTATTCAGTCCAAGTCATTGTTGTCAATCAGCAACGTTACCTTTGTGCGGCGGATCGTCCGCTGGTCGGTATGTGTACAGACATGTTTCAAACAAACAGCGGTGTTGTGATGTGACAGTGAACGGCACTGCGCAAACTCACAGTTCACGTTATAATTAAAGTCTAATCTATTATAAAACGTCAGTCTAAATATGCTGTAGGGTATCTGAGTTATGAATCAGAAAAACAGGCGAAAATCATTATTTGGACATAAAAGCGGCACTTACCAGTATCGCCTCCACCCGATGGGGCTGCCATATTATCATGAAAATAAGCGTGAACGCTTCCGCTGCGTGACGTCAATCAGTGATCGACAGGAGGAAGTCAGCGGAGTGGATGCAGCAGCACGCTTCAAATAAAAACAATCATTTAGAGGAAACGTTCTTGACCTGTTATAAACATCTCATTGATTTAAATTACAAGCTATATTGTATATAATTACAACATTTGCACATTTTTGTTAATTTGGGGTGTTTTTTCACCCTCGAGTTTAAGCTCGATATTATCACCATTAAAGTCTTAAGTATCAAATACTATACAAATGCATAATTTTTATATAGATTAATGTCATATGTTTGTTTTTCTTTGTTAGATTTCTTTATTGTTTATTGTAATAAGAAAAAGTTCACTGCAGTTTGACTTTGTTTTTCAAAACTCCATCTGTGTAAGTTAAGTTAGATTCACGCAGAAAATTATTCTGTACACATTGTAAGACATATTTTTTGTACTGTATTTAAATTATACAAAATTAGACGCAACGACATTTATAATAATTGTGAACCAAATATGTTTTAAAGCACCGCACACAAAACACTTGATGGATACAAGTATTCTACCTTTTCAGTGAATTCAGACGTTAGCGCCAATCACTTGAAGCACAAACCACTTGTCGTTAAAACGATTTCAAAAGTTGTTTAAATGTAAATAATGAAATAATATCGGTTAAAATACATTAAATTTGTCAAACACGAAGATCAAACGTTAACTCAGTCACCACGCCTACAATTTGTCGTCATATCCGCGAAAGCCTCTCTTCCGTCCGTCTCGCGCATGTGTAGTCCTCTTTACGACTCGGGTGGCGAAGATGGCGGACGCTCAGGTATGTGAGTTCCTACGGCGTGGTCATGAAAACTCATTTGATTTCATGATAAGCTTCAGTTGAAAGCCACAAATTCTGGTAGATGGACAGTGAAGAAACCACCATGGAGACAATGGTGTCGAAATCGACCACAAATAAGACTAGAATATGCGTTTTTCAACCCCGGCTAACTGGTGGCAAGCGTTGCTGAACGGAAACGCGGGCGGCCTTTCTTTACTACATCAACACAATGTGACTATTACACATGCAACTCTTTATATGGACTACGGTTGTTGTAATACCCTGAATCAAGTTCGTTGAGTGATTAAAATAACTGAATTTGTCTGGAAAGCAACTCAAGCACATTGAAAGTTTTGCTAGGTTTGTCGCAAATTTACAATGCCACTCCTGTCCAGAATCACTTTTTGTGGATTTGAACACATGCTCTAAATGGACATCAAGCTGCAAATGATGATAAAAATCACGACGGTCTTCCAAGTCTGTGAGGCTTTGACGACACTGCCTTATGGCATTTTTCTGATGCAGCATAAAATCCCTAAAATGTTTTATGGCCTTTTTGATGCATAGTCCAACACATCCGTCATTCATGATTTTTAGGAATGTTATGTTTCTTTATCCATTGGTTTGTAAGGAACATGGCTGACTCTGTGCTTGTTTTCTGTTTCAGAACGAGAGGTCTTATCAGAAACAGCCCACCATCTTCCAGAACAAGAAGCGAGTTTTGGCTGTTGAAGGGAGTGCGAAAGAAAAGCTCCCACGTTACCACAGAAATGTTGGCTTGGGCTTTAAAACCCCCAGAGAGGTGAGCTTGTTTTTCTTTGTAAACGTAACTTTTCACTGCAAATGATGTTATTTCATGACGGTCTTCCTAGACTCCTGGAGAGCTCTGAGGATACAGCCTTAAGGCAATGCTGATGCAGTTGTATGTGCTTCCATTATGTATCATAAATTGGTTTCAAATGACTATAAACAACTTGTGCTTTACTTCCACAGGCTATTGAAGGCACTTATATCGACAAGAAATGCCCGTTCACTGGAAATGTGTCCATCAGAGGCCGGATTCTGTCTGGTGAGCCTTTGTAGCTCTTAGTGGCGTAATTGTAGTTTTATTGGGGTGCAGATGATGTCTTATCACGATGGTCTTCTGAACCATTTAGGTTTTGAGGATAGTGCCTAATGGCTTTACTGATGCCTCCCTGTATATCTTTGTCATTTTGTAAGTCAAAGATATTCTTAAAAGGGATAATTCACCCCAAAATTTAAATGGTCATTTACTCACCCTCAAGTTATTCCAAACCTGTAGGAATTACTCTTCTGCTGAACACAAGATATTTTGAAGAATGCACAAATACACCCATGCACGATGGAAGTCAATTGGGCCCATCAAACTGTTTGGTTGGACGTTCTTAAAAATATCACCTTTTGTTCAGAAGAAGTAAATTCTTACAGTTTTGGAGCAATTTGAGGGTGAGTAAATGATATATTTTTCCCTCTTGGGTGAACTATCCCTTTAAAAGACTGTTTGCTGGCCAATCGATATACTGCATGTGAACTTATCTGCGGTCACCATTTTCCAGGTGTGGTGACCAAGATGAAGATGCAGAGGACCATTGTCATCAGGCGGGACTACTTGCATTACATCCGCAAGTACAACCGTTTTGAGAAGAGGCATAAGAACATGTCTGTCCACCTCTCTCCATGCTTCAGGTAAAATTCCTACTGTTAGGGAGGAATCCTTTCCATCCTTTTAGGTGCCCAAAAACCCTTTATGTTAGCTGCGAATGATGATTTATCATGACGGTCTTCCAAGTCTCAGACTTTGACGAAACTGCCTTATGGCATCACTGATGCAGCAAATAATAGTCCCTAAAATGTTTCTTCACACTCAAGGTTTTTGGGTTGAGTGATTTAGTTAGAAAAACTACTTTTTCTCTTAGTTTTTCTTGAATGTCACTAATGTTCTCCATGTTTTTAGGGATGTGACTGTTGGTGACATCGTTACAGTTGGAGAATGCCGACCTCTCAGCAAGACAGTGAGGTTCAACGTCCTGAAGGTCACCAAGGCAGCTGGAGCCAAGAAGCAGTTCCAGAAGTTCTAGAACTGTTGGCTTAACAATATGGTTCCTCTGCATTGTTTGTGGAAATGAATAAAAATCTGTTCTTTAAATTTCTGTATAGTCTATTCTATAATGTCATTTTGGAAAAGCACCCCCCCCCACACACACACACATACACATCATATTTTGGATATTTCTTATGATCAGCACAGATAATGTACTTTATATTACTATATGTACTTGCCTGAGAAAGAACTAGGGAGTATGAGGTAACTACATCATGAGGTAAGGTGTGGACTCGGGGTTAGTACATACTATGTTCATGGCATGGGGAGTAAAGTGCGACCGAATATTGTGTTTTAGTGTGGTTGATGTTTTGATAGATTATGACTCCCATATCTCATGAATGACACCTGCACACATTCTGTAGTTTTCTGGGCTGTTGAAGATGTGGTCATTTTAATTTTGTTGGCTAAATAATTTGTGATGTGTTGTTTTTTTATGGCATTTCCCATCAGTTTCTGAGTGATTCTAGAAAAAAAACATTCACATTTAGAAATTTTGATAAGCCTCACTTTTTATGAGTATTCTATATTCGATTGTACGTGTTTAAATCTGTTGGGTCTAATCAGGGGCAGAATGGGACAAAAAAATAAATCAGCCCTGGCACTTGTAGCCACATCAGCTCACGCACACGCATTCAAATGTTGGGTAGTTTGGGGGTTTCGGGGGCATGATACCCGAGAAAATTTGGATTTCTCGGACCTACAGATAGATATATGCAATTTAAGACTTTCAAAGGTCAAAAATGCAGCCTAATGTTTCGCAGTGTGTTAAAAAAAGGCGGACTCCATTATGTAGTGATGAATGATATTCGCATAAAGTGTAAATGAAGGTCTGGGGATAACCTCGACTGAACGGACATCACTTTTCTTTTTTTCAAATTACAAGGTTTATTAATTTACTGTTGTTATGTATACGTGTATACACGCCTAGGACACATCCAGCAGATGGCGCTACTTCACTGCTTGCTGAACGCGCCAGCCCAACAAAACACGTCGATTGTCTACGTCACGCTCGCCATCCGTGTTTGAACGTGGCGGCGCGAGGTTGTGGAAATTAGATATTATTTTCTATTCGGTGTTTTCCTTGTTTGCACATTTAATGAGAACACATATTTAAACCAATAGTTACATACAACACTAATTAATGGTTGTCGTGTTGCATAACTCACCCCAATGATTGACGGAACAGACATGACAGCCTCGGTAAGCTAATGTTGTGTACAAACAGCTAACGTTAACGTTTTTGTTGTAAGCTAAAAACGGATTATTGTGTTTTTTTCTTTTAATATATTATTAACTGTTTGTTTATACAGGCTTGTAATAAATGGAAGGGGTTGTTCAGTCTTGGAGAGGAGTTTGAAGATGAGGTTTGGAATTAACTTTTAGTTTTGATATGCGTATAGTTTACAAAACAAAGTTTACATAGAATAAGTTGCAGATATATGATGTTATATATATATATATATATATATATATATGTGTGTGTGTGTGTGTGTGTGTGTGTGTGTGTGTGTATGTGTGTGTATATATGAAGAGTTCAGATGCAAAAGCCTCTAAGTGCCATTTGAAATTTTCTTCTAAAATGATCATTTTTATCAAGCTTGTATATTTAAGTTCAGTAATTTCACTTAAATGGCAATGAAGATTACCTATTAATTGTCATTTAAGTGAAATTACTGAACTTAAATATACAAGCTGGGTAAAAATGGTCATTTTAGAAGAAAATTTCAAATGGCATTTAGAGGCTTTTGCATCTGAGCTCTTCATATGTATGTGTATATTTTTTTTATTTCATACATTATGTGTGTATTGTGTATACATGTGGATGTGTATGCACATGTACGTGTATAATTTGTTTTATATTGTTATGGTTTTTCATCTTTAGGATTTGCTTGAACCTGATTGGACATGTCCATCAGAGTGCACATCTTCTACCGCTCCCTCTGTAAATCCACCATCTGAGTCCTCGCATGTGTTGACTGAAAAATCCACTCATGTTCAGCAGAGACCTGTTAGCTTGTCATCAGACCCTGGGGAAAATACGTCAGGATCTGGTTGTGTGGCGACTCTTCGAACTCCAACATGTGGCACTATCAATTCCCCACCAGATTTCTCCGTACCTTGCCATCAGACACTTTTATCCCTCAGAGCCCCTGCGTCATCCCTGAAACCCTCCTCTAACCAAGTAAACCATCCACCGCCAGCATCTCTCAGTGTCCCACAGAGAGACCCCACTCCTCAGGATGACTTTGATGACTGGGATGTGGATCTGGAGGAGCTGGATAGCATTCCTCAAGTGGTTTCTGAGCCACAAAATATTTCTTCACCTCTGGATAACATTTCACCCATTAAACGAATGAGACATTCAGCACCAGAAGTGTCCTCCCATGGTAGGTTCAGTGGTACCTGCTCAGTGTCCGTTGCACGGCCCTCAATCAACAGCTCATTCGCTTCCAATGTTGAAGCCCCCAGGTGTCCGTCTACCCCTATGCAGAATCCAAATCACATGCGTATCCCCACTACATTAGTCTCACGAGTTCCCAGACCTGTCACTACAAGGCCTCCAGTGGTGTCTCCTCGCTGCCACATGGGTACTTCATCACCGAGGACCCCGCTGCAGCCCAGAGGATCTCTTTTCCACTCTGCATCATCTGCTATTGATTCCTCTTCCACATTAACACCTCGTCCTCTCAACACACCCGTCCTGACCAATCACTTGGTCCAGCTGGTGTCTGCAGCCAATAAGACACCTCAGAGACCACAGAGTTGTATGATGATAACCAAAGCACGTCGTTTTCCTGGCCCAGCAGGAGCATTACCACAGCAGGTCAGCCAAGCCGTAATCTAGCTGATTACTCTTAATGGAACACAATATGAACTGCCCAGATCTGTTATTTAGTGTATTGCAAGACTATTTCTCCTTAAAACCTGTTGTTTATATGAATTATTGTTCTATAGCTTGTAGCTTTGAGATTTCTTTTGTTTCCTTACTATTTGCTTACAGTATTCCTATTTATGTTGTTTTGTAGGTCAGTGGGGGGAGTCTTGATGATATTGTTGTGTCAGTTCCTCATACACCTGCACATGGAGCGGTTGCTCGCCTTAGAAATGAGGTATGTGAACACGGGACCTTCCGCATTACACAATTACAGTCGATGGATTTGAGGCTTTGTGGGTTATTTTGTCTCAATTCAACCAGAGGTCCCTGGCTAAAAAAATTTAATATTGATAAAAAAAATTCAGGTGATAGAAATAGGTAAATGAAGGGGAAAGCTAAAATATAAAATATGAGCGTAATCCACTATTTTGTGGAGCGTCAAAATATCAATTTTCACCTGACATTTGGAGTCCGATTACAGGGGGTTAAAATTAATTGAGAAAAATAACAGCATCATCATTATTATTATTCTTATTATTATTATTTTTTTTTTTGCATGGAGATTGAAAAACTGTTAAACTGCTGACTTTAGCAATCATTATTGCATATGACAATTCAATTCAAAAATTTGAAAAAAAAAGCACAACTTGAGTATTTTGCCCCAAGTGTGCATGCATGTAACTCAATAAATATTAAAGATAACTTAATATACCTTTAAATTGTAGTTCCTAAACTTTTCTGACAAAGTGACTCTCATTTGGTTTTCTCCCATTAAAATGAGTTAAATTGGATTGAACCAAATAGTGCCTTAAAAATCAAGATTTCATAAGAAAGTTGGTAAATAACAAGAATCTAAAATTATATGAAGATATCTTTAATAATTTTTAATGAATTACAAGGAAATCAGCTCTGGGGGGAAAAAAACAAAACTTTTGGCACTCAGACAGTGGTTCTATCTATGCAATTGTTTTGATAAAAAAATAAAATCCATTTCTAGTTTCAAACGAGCAGCAACCTTCCAGCAAAAATCAAAATGCACATAAATCACTGTCACACACACATGCTCAGAGTAATATTGTATGTTACTGCACAATACATTAACTAGCAGAATCACGATACTCTGTCTCACTTGTAGCTACAGTACGTCTTTTAACTATTATAATATTTTGAAGGGCAAAAACAGAGACATTAACTTTTTACATCATTAACTGTCACTTAAGCGTGATGCCCTGTGCGGTCGCACACTTGAGCTAACTCGAAACAAGCTCCACCCACATACCTAAGCCATTAAATTTTCGAGTGATTCCGCGTGTATGTTCACGCCGTTAAACGTCCGAGCGAAACGAAGCAAAATGTAGATCTACATCTGGGGAATAATATATATTTTTTTCCTAGGATGGTAGGGGAAGACTCATAAATGCTATTAACCCCAGTGACGGGTCGGTTTAGGGACGGGGTTGGGGTAGGCCATATATTTATATATATATATATATATATATATATACAGTAATGTAACGTTAAGTCAACAGCGTTCATAAACACGCTGAAAAGCGATTATTCTTGTTGATGGCACACCAAAAATGGAAATACGAATTGGTGTGTCATACATACACCATTTCATGAGATCAGTCTGTACACTCATCATCAGACAGGGTGTCCATTTTTCTCAGCAGGTCTCCAGCTCTCAAGTGAGCGAGGAAGAGGAGTTCAGCAGGGGTCCGTGGGCAGTGATGAAGTCTGAGATGGGATTGGACGAGAAGAACCCTTCTTGCTTTCTGCATTTGTACAGTGTTGTCATGGTTCTCCGTAAGGTGAGCTACTTGTATCTCACAGCAAACTGTGTATTTAAATTTGATTTTGAGTGTGCTTAGGATTGAACTTTGTTGGTTTGCAGATTTGTTCATTTTATCCAGATTTGTACGATACATATTTGTATTGCTTTGCAATGCCTGTAGTGGAAGTCCATGACTATAATCAGGACAAATGAGACGTTTCGGCTCCCTAAATGATTAACACAAACATAATCACTGTTGTCATCAGTCACCTTAAAGTGATTATTAATGTAATTTTAATGTGTTTTGCCCAGTGTGTCATAACGATCCTCTGCTAATGGTACACGTGTGTTAAATATTCATTAGGCTGACAAATGCTGATTAGCTTTTCACTTGATTCATTACCAATGGCCTTGAGGCTGTGCTCCAACTTATGTTTTTTTTTTTTTTTTTCTGTTATTCTCTTGTTTTCTTTGGTGCTTATTTGTGACTTAAATCTCTCTCACTCCTCCAGGCTGCTCTCAGGCAGCTAACTAAGAATAAGGTTCCTAACATGGCTGTTGTCTTGAAGAGTATCACACACACGCATGTAGACGCGAAGGCCATCTTCAGAGATCCAACGGGTATGACAAATAATTAGTGTTTAATGGTACATTACATATTCATACATGCATACCAGGGGGTTCCTGACTGAGCTGGTTTTCCTGGTCTGATTGACTCATCTTTTCCTGTTTCTTTTTCTCTCTAAAGGTGAGATGCAGGGCACAGTTCATCGTCGCCTGGTGGAAGACAGACTGGGAGAGCTCAAGACAGGAGCTGTGTTATTACTGAAACAAGTAACTATCTTTTTGACCTCATTATAAACTATACCATGAAATAATATGCACTTAAAGGACAACTCCGGCGCAAAACGACCTTTGGTCTAATTACACATTGGTACCTAGTCAACCGTTCTCTAACATTTGTTTAGTTTATAACGCTAGTATATAGGGCTAGATGTAATGAAAAAAAAATAGCTATTTAATACCACTAACAAGGTTCAATATAGCCCCACACTGACGCAGTAACAATGAGGGTCCCTACATGCAAACCGAAGCATTGAAAACTTTGTACAGAGAGTTATTTTTTAAAGACGGTCCACTTTGCGTATACAGGCAGGAGCCATCTTTGAAAAACATTTCGACCAGGCGAACCACGAACGCTGTGCCTTAAAAAAAGAGACTTAGTGCTTCCACAAGATACACACTAAAGAGATGGCGGATTATTCAACCGACGAACCGTTTATGTTTGATGGATGGTCTTATATTTTCGAAAGAGAGAGGGAGAGAATAAAATGTTCTCTCATCACATTAAATGTTGCCGTGATGAGCATTGAGCAAGCAGGTGACAGTCCCTTGATGGCGAGAATGAAGATTTTATCGTTGCAATGCAGTTTCTGCTCTCTCTCTAATGCTTTTACCAATGCAAACACGATGATGTACATACAGTAAGAGCTTTGTCGTGCGGCTTTGATTTCATAACGTGTCATCCAGATAAACTTGCGCTGTGTGGAAAGAGTTCTTTGATTACTTTCTGTATAATTTGTTCACGATTCATGAACGATTTTGAGAGAAAGATTACCTGTCTGAGCTTGAACAATTAGGCTGCACACATCAGAAATTGTTGCTTGGTAGCTCGATCAATTTATTTTCAGACGTTCATCGAGGCCAGTTCTGTATTGGCCCAAGTTGAGGAAACTTGGGAAGTTGTGTTGGCGTATTTCATTTTTTCTTCAGAGGCTCTGATGAAGGAATTAAAAAATACTTTTGTGTTCATTTGTACATCCGAACACTGATCAACTGCCATGCTTCACTCGTTTGCAAGCCATGATATCTCTCGAGGAAAAACTCAAATCTTGCTTGCGCGTTCATACTTCCTAGCTCAGTTTCTCATGGGCGAGCTAAATTCTCTGGGCAGGCAAATCAGAGAAAAGGGAGGTTACCTTTCCTCCATATGACGTCATACGGAGGAGATTCATGATCAGCGCGCTTGAGCTTTCACTCTCTCAAAGTCAGAGAAAGATAGCCAAAGCTCGGTTTACACCGATTGAAATATCTAGCCACTGGGCGACCATATACAGGCTATAGGGGAACTTATATTAATGTCAAAAAACATTAATATTAACTCTAAATTAATAGTTAATTGTTAATTTTAACTATTAAATAATTAATAGTTAATTTTAAGAATAAAAAAGCGAACTCCTGCCTGTATACGCGAAGTGGACTGTCTTTAAAAAATATCTAATTAATCTCTCTGTACAAAGTTCTCAACGCTTTAGTTTGCATGTAGGGACCCTCATTTTGTTACTGTGTCAGTGTGGGGCTATATTGACCCTTGTTAGTGGTATTAAATAGAGTTTTTTTTTTATTTTTCATTATTCTATGCCCTATATATTAGCATTATAAGCTAAAGAGGTTTTTGAGATAAAACTCTTTACATTCGATTATCATGAAAACAAATCTCAGAGAATGGTTGATTAGGTACCAATGTGTTATTAGACCAAAGGTCATTTTGCGCTGGAGTTGTCTTTTAAGATTACACCAGATATTGTTTTACTTTACTCATTACTATTGTAATATATTACTCCGACCCACGGCTTAACATATAGCACATGTTGAGCCATAGCGCTTATGTGGGCATTACAAGATCAGGCTTGCAATATTTGCAGATCCCATTGTGCACTATTCTCTATCATTTCCAGTCCTCTACTGTGTGTCTAATAAAGAGGCAATGAGTCCATAGATTTCCAATTATTTTTAAAGGTGGGTGTGTTTTCACCATCACACCGAAATCACTACCTGAATGTCACACCCAATAACCTTCTCAGGATATACCCACCTGATGGGGTCCTCCATGACTCCCAGCCATCCCACCCTCCACTGGTGAGTTGCCTTGTTCTGTTCCCCTTTGTATGCATGTAATTTTTTATACCGTAAAACTTTTACACGCCTGGTGTGGCTGCAGGTTTGGGTAAATAAAGGCCAGTCTTCAAACACAAGCGCTGTTTTACTCTCTCCCTCACTCGTATTAATCAAAGTCAATTGACACGATAGTAAAAGGTCGGAAGAACGCATATGGAAGTTTAATATGGAAGATTTGGAGATTTATAGAGATGAGAGACTCTGGGCCTACACTCAGTGAACAACAGCTCAACACTAAATTATAAAGGCCTGTCTCGTATAGGCGCCCGTCTCAAATGCAAGCCTGTGCAGTTTGACGATTTGGGGAAAATAAAAGCCTGGGCTATTATTTGAAGTTTTACGGTAATTCTGTTTTAAATCTTTCTCCAAATTGACTCCAATTTGGTGGTGTCCAGCATTTTGCTCGTCTATTGTGGAAGTACCTTTACCGAGGAGATGCTTTCTTTTCCAAAATGTGTCTTTATGAAAGTATTTGTGTGTTGTCTTTATCATTTGTTTTGTTTTCATTTCGCCCCTGTTGTGCCGTGTACAAGCAGGAGTTGCGTAGTGAACCCAGCAAGCCTACGGGGGGCCCGGTTTCTCAGATGGTGCTCCACTTTGAGGACGAAGATGAAAATACAGTTGAGGAAAATCGGGCGGCTGATGCTTTAGACACTGCAGCTGGCTCTAATGAGCTCTGTCAAGCATCTACAGTGTTGGGACCAACAGAGGAGACAGCATGGGAAACAGGTGTGTTTGTTGGAGTTTCGTTAATTAAGCAATATCACACAAGCAAGAGTGCTGTTGTAGTCACAAAGCCATGTACTGGCTTGAAAGGTCTTGAACATAGTATGTGAGTAGAGTGGAGCGACATTTCTTTTCCCTGCACTAAGTCTTCTGTAAACGCCAGGTTTTTAATTTCCACTGCTGAGAAAATCTTACTCTGGGGTGTTTCATATACAATGACGTAACTCTGATTAACCACCATAATGCAACAGTAGTTAGGGATGTAAAGATTCGCTCATCTCACTATGCGATACGATTCACAATACTGATTTTCTCACGATCTTTTTTAAAAAAAATAGATTTAAAAGTTTCCCTTTTATTATTTCTCAGACAAAATGCTGTAATATTTAAAATATATATTTATAATTTAAATAATAAATAATAATTTAAAATATATATGTCAAATAATAAAACTACATTTAAAAAAAATTCTCTTCAAGGTTGTTTCAACTCAGTCTTTCTGTCTGTTTGGTCAAGAGGCTGGACACTGGTACCTTCGCATGTAAAAGACTTTGTAAAATTAGTACCAGATTGACAGGAGTTTTACATTTGTATTAAAGGCAAGATTCTAATTTTTTGTTATAATTTGTATCATTAAACTAGTAAGAGTAAAAAAAAAACACATTTAGAGAAAGAGATGGTAAAATGAATACAACACCTGGTTGCCACGGAAACACTGATGCATCTTGTGTTCTCCTTGGCTCTCGCAGTTGTCGTATTAATGACTTTTACATGAAAACGGAGGTGACTGGTGCTTCTCACGGTGGTGGTGATTATTATTAGTCTACGGAAAGTCAAAATGTCCCCACACCTCCAATTTGAATGAGTCAACATCTACGCTTGCCATCGCCATGTCTATCGTTTGACAGCGTGCGCACACCAGTCTATGCCACACACTGGAACGAGCGGAGCACACCGAGCGTTTTCAGTTCATTCATATATGGCAGTTGAGCTTGGCTCAAACAAGCTCAAGTTCCATGAATGAAGTGAAAACACTCACTAGCTTTGCGCCAGTGTGTGCTCGCTGCAATTGTACCTGTAAAGCAAGTTTCACAACTTCACAGTAGGCTATAAAACGTGTATCGCAATTCGTTTAACATTTCAACCGACTTGAACCGTCACACTTTATCGCTTTTCAACCAGTTGCGAGTGAATCGTTACATCCCTAGTGGTTGCTTATTGCGCTCAAGAGCATCATCCACGTTATAACAAAAATCTGTTCTTCTAACAATAGGTCATAAGCTGTAGTTCCAACCACACAAGTTTGTTGAAACTTTGTTTTGGGGAAACACTGAATTGCTGAATGACCTGAAGTGGTATCGGCAGAATTTTTTTATTTTAACCATAGTTGTCTAATCATCCATGGTTTTGGGAAAAAAAACACCCCTGCCCTAAGCTTTTCTGGAGTGCTAAGGAAACACAGGCGTGTTTGGGAATGAAGTTGTTGCTGCAGGAGAAAATTACCAAAACACTCCCACACTCGCATACTCTAGTCTGGCACAGACAAGCAGAGTGATACTAACAGTACTCTTGTGTTAGCACTCTTGAATGGCACTTCACCATTTAAAATACTCTGAACAATCAATTGAATATTTCCATAAATTTACATTTCATTTCATCAGTCGCATGTTAAAAGCATCAGGTATGAAATAACTTTGTCGAAATGGATCTATGCCAGTCTGCGTCTAAATGGAGGCATTTTGCCAGATCCATTTAGATTTTGTACAGTATTTTCTGTTACTGACTCCTTTCTGACCCATGATTGACTCAATACTTAAGCTAATTTCAGTCCTATTCAACCGTCTTGACATTTTAAGCAGCATTGAGGTGGAAAACAAGAGGAGACATCGTGCCGTGCATAGCGGTTCAGAAGTCTGAAAGCTTTTGATTAACAGCCTTAGAAAAATGCACCATGGATTTTTCTTTAGTGTCATTAATGTTATAGGGACTGTGAAGGTCTGTCAGTCCTAGAATGACCTGATGTGATTTATATATTGATCAAAATTGAGCATATCGTGATAAATTCTTGCTTTTCGCACACTCCTAAACTGGATTAATTGTCATTCAGAAATGTGTCGCATTGTTTCCGCTTTATTTGAACATACAATGAGTTGTTCAGATTAGAATAATGCTATTATCTCAGTGGCTTTTAACTCACTAGACTCTTTAAATGTTGCTACAAAAAATGTTTTGTCTTCTAAACAGTGGGTGGTATGCTGTGATGTGTTGGAAATGAGATGGGAAAGATAATTTAACTTCTAATTTTCAGATGCTCTGGTGTCTTAGAACTGTGAAGAGAGTGCATGCATTTGAGTATTGATCTTTGTATGTGCCTGTTTCTTTTCTAAAGATGACCTTGACGAGCTGCTCGGGGAGTTACCTGTGGAGTCGTATGATGGATTACGTTGATCGCACAGTCACTTAAAATATAAAGTATAATTGTAGAACATGTCTTATATTAATACATATTATGACAATTACTACTATTGAACAAACAACACCTACTAACCAAAGAAATCACTACTTTTGTTTAGGTTTTGTCTAATCCTTTGTAAATATGTACATAATTCACTTGTCTCATGCATAAATTGGAAATAAATTCCCGATGAGACCCGTAAATGACGTGTTCACTCCTTGAGTCTTGCTAACAAATGCAACATGTTTTTCTAGCTTGTAATTAGATGTGTGTAAGGATGGTTTTTAATTATCCTGAAAATAGCCAGTAATCTGATTTTTTGGCAAGCTTTTCTTGTGAATTTAAATCTGTCATTAAGGCTACAGTTTGCCAGCTGGATTCCTCCTTGAAGGGCTTGAATGGTGTAATTGGTCATTTTTTTGGTGTGCTAGCAGAGTGGTTGGCATATTGGGGTTGTTCCCGAACTTCCCGCTGTTTAAAAGCTTTTTCAGGTCTTGCTGTAAGACCTCTTGAGTGGTTGACATTATTTGATCATTCCATTGACTGTAATTTTGAGTCCCAGCCTGTTACTGTCTTTTACTACAGTCTTTTAATTTACATTCTTACCTTTGTCTCAATTAGTCTTAGAATCGCTCTGTACTTTCTTGATTGTCTCAACAGCATGTCTCTCTGTGTGTTATTGATTGAACATTTCTTGATTAGGTTGATTCACTGTGAATCATTATAAAGTCATGAAGGTGCAATCATTTATTCAGTCTTCCCTAGAGTACCATGTGTCTAATAATTAATTGGTTAAATATTAAACCCCCTGTCCTCCCTGCATAACTTATCATTTGCAGTGCAGGAGGGTTATATCCATTAGCTGTTTTTTTTTATTTATTATTTTTTATGACGGCTGTTTATAGACCTATATGGATGGATGGATGCATGCATACGTGCATAGATTCATATATGAGATGGATGGATGTAACACACTCACACACACATGCATCTATCTTTCCATTCAGCTATTAACAATTATGTGCAAATATAGATGTTATTTTTTTAAAGTTCAAAGTTTTTGGTGTTATTATCTCACCATCTACTGTAATATGATTTAGCACAGGGGTTTTCAACTCCAGTCCTCGCGACCATTTCCGGTGAAGGTGTAAGGATGCTCGATAACTTCCGCCGATCGCAGACTAAGAGTCCAATGCAATTCAGAGAATTTATATTGAATTTTATACTCCATGCCATGGTTATACTAAAGAAACGTTAGTCACAAAAAACAGATAAAACTTACACCCCCTTGTGTTTATGCTTCCTTTTAAAATTATTAAATAAACATACCTATATGTAAAATTACATCTAAACGTATGGACGTTTCGTTTCAAAGACGGGAGGACAGTAAATTTTTAAGAGTCTGCCATAATCCCGTTTTCCTCGGTTTTCCTCTGCTTTAATCTCCACAACCGGAAATGGACGAGCATCCTTGCGTCAAATGCGGTATTTGCGTGCATAGCCCATTGTGTATGTCTCCCTTATTTAACACACCTGATTCAGATCCTCCTCGGCTCGTTAGGAGGAGGATCTGAATCAGGTGTGTAAAGGGAGACATGCACAATATGCAGAGCAGTGGGTCGCGAGGACTGGAGCTGATAACCCTTGATAGCAGGTATAGATTTAATTTATCATTACTTGGCTACTATTTACTAGTGTGAATTTGCTATCAAAAGCTGTGCCCTCTTTAAATGGCTAAATGCAGCCTCAACAGCTTTTGATTTGAACTTTTAAATTCTCATATGCATTTTCGTCCATTAATAGACCTGTTCTTGACTTTGACATTGCTTTAGTATTAATCTCAGAACAAAGACGGGATCTGATCTAATCTGTCAGCATGTCACAGATGTCTCTTGTTACTTGGAGAATGAATGTGTGAGTTTTATCCGGGGCCCAGAGGAGGAGTAATCCATGTTTAAACTTTGTTCATTACTGCAGCTGAAGGGGCACAGAGACCTTGTCTTATTCGCTTCATTAAGTCATTAACAGTCTGGAAGCCTTACAGCTGTCAGCACTATTGGTGCCCTCCACAGAGATATTGGTGTGAGACGAGCTGTGAATGGCATATGTGATGGAGGATGGGGTTTATCAGTAGGCCTAAATGTAACATGGCAGCCATCTTATCTATAATATCCCCTTTCATTTGGACTCTCCCCCATTTGATAGTCACATTCCTTCAAATTATTTTTCTTTTATAAAATGAGAGATTTGTTCCACTTATCTTCAAGACTCTTGGCTCGTCTTGCTCAGGGCTCCAGACTAACTTTTTTTACTAGGAGCGCTGTTGCCCCTGACTGAAAATTTTAGGAGCGCAAGCAAAAAATTTAGGGGCACACCTTAAATAAGCTTGCAATGCAAATATTCAAATTTCCCACACAATAACTGTAATACTGACAAATTCTTTAATAATAAATAGACTTAACATTATGATATGCTGTTTTATTTTAACTTCACAGGGCTCCAGACCCAAAGTTGAGGGCAGCATCACCTCAAATGAGAACTCACAGTAATATATATATATAAAAAAAAAAAAAATCTGGTAGCACTGGGGCTAACAATAAATCACTAAGCTTAATTTAGGGTGTAGATGAAATTAACTTTAGTTTTTATCATTTATAATGTCTTAATAATAATTAATAAAAGTAGTGAAAATATGCATATGGAGTGAAAATAGCCAATAAACATCCTACTGTTTACAATGGTATTAATATTATTATTTTAAGTGTTTAAATAAGAGTTTTCCAACATCTTAAAATTGTTCGTTTAAGGACAATCTTTAAAGGATGAACAAAAAATGTGTTGGTATGGTAATCACATAAAAAATACAAAAAAATAAAACATTTATATATGATAATATTGAAGTGCTGGGAAAGGATGTGTAGTAGGCTACTTACACATTATCATATTTATGGTAAGAGTTAACTTGCCAAAATTCATGGTTCTGTTAGGCTGATTTGTGGACTGAAAGCCTTATAAGTGTTTTTCCTGGTTTCCACGTCAGCGCTGTTTGATCTGATATGGTTTATAACAGAACTCTGCGCCGAATCGGAGTGTTTCTCACTGGATCTCGTGGTGTTAATGTTATTAATTCTGAGGTGAATTCAATGGATTTCTTCACTGTCTCGCCTACTAACAGTGTTGCGTGAGCGAGATCGGCCCGCGACTGGCAAGTTCGGGGCTTTATTTTGTCAATGGTTCGGATCGCTGCTGCAGCTCCACGGTCCTAATCATACATGAGTGGCGTATTTTCGTTCCACTTTCATTTTGTTTGCATTCGTTGCTAGGTAACGACTAAAGAGTCGATAGATCGCTGATTGCTCAGACGCACATCAGTTTGTGATATTTGTTTCCGTCTCTTTCCCACAAACGTTTACGCGCGCTATTCTTGTCACGGATTCATTGACGCGCCTCTTCCACGCTTTACCATGCGTTTAACGTGTGGCAAATTTACTGGTCGCACATGTGCGACTGGATGTAAAATTCAGTCGCACACTCTCAATTTTTGGTCGCAAAATGCGACCATTTGGTCGCAGTCTGGAGCCCTGTTGCTTCTGTCAGATAAATCACCTCAATAGTCTCTTCTAGAGATGGTTCTGAAGGCCTTAATGTTTGTTGAAGGAGGTGTGTCAGTCACTAGGGGGCGACATGCCCACTAATGATCAGCCTCAGATTGAAGCATGTTTTTATTTATTCATTACTGAGCCTAATCTGCTTCCAACGAGGTTTTTTCCTCCACAAAGACGTTAATACTGTTTTGTCCTTTTTATTTACGCCTCAAGTAATTAACTGGCTCTTGAACGGAAGTCAGATTTAATCAGTATTATTGGGTCAGTTTGAAATGCTCTTCACTGTTAGGCCGATTGAGACACTTGAAGGATCAATTTGAAGACCTTCACCATCCAAGTCTCTGTCTTGCCTCTTTGAATGTGCCAAGTATACAAATTTCTCAATTATTTTCCTAGAAGTGCTTGTGGTTAATCTGCTGGTCTAAATAAGTATTCTAACTAGACTGGTGTGTTCTCAATACTGTTTATTTTAGGTCTTGTATGTGTGAACTCCTGAGAGTGCTGTGAGCATTTTAAACTACTCGAAAATAACAGGTACTTGTGTAAAATACAGCTTCTGTCTTCATACTTGCAGAAATTATCATGATTAGCCTATCAGTAGAGCAATACCTGAAAAACCCTGTCCTTTTTTTTGTTCAATCCTACATCAGTAATTTAATATTTGTGATATTAACAAGAGTTATTAGCTAACCTAAAACCAAAGTTTTTTGCTTGTATATTTAATATACTTAATTAGTAATTTTCATGTTCAATTTGACTCGCTAAAATAACAAAGTGCAAAAAAAAAAATATTCATAAAAAATATGAATTGGTAAATATTAGTAAAAGTATTTTCTTAGTTAAAATAAAATATAGCTGATGAAATGACAAATGCACAAAATTAATAAAATTAATTAAAAGTTAAAATGGAAAATATAAAAACTTAAAACCAATATATTAATAAAAACTATACTATTCATGATACTAAAACTGGATTAAACTAAATTTGCTTTTCCGAAGTGAAGTAAAAGTACTTGTTACACACGCACAAAATTATTTGGCAACCCAGCGCTGGGTGACTATTGGGTGACTAAAATCTGATATTAGTAGGCTGTTCCAGTTCATTAAATGATTGTTCATGTTTGAAAAGTTACATCATAAACTGTCAGACATTTAAGTAACTTGATTGCACTGACAATATAGAAATGTGAAAGAGTGATGTTAACAATAGCATTTTAAACAAAAACAACCAAAAGTTATAGTTAATAGTTATATATAATATATTCAAATGGTTATTAGGAACACCTGTTAAATTTTTCATTAATGCAATTATCTAATCAACCAATCACATGGCAGTTGCTTCAATGCATTTAGGGGTGTGATCCTGGTCAAGACAATCTCCTGAACTCCAAACTGAATGTCAGAATGGGGAAGAAAGGTGATTAAAGCAATTTTGAGCGTGGCATGGTTGTTGGTGCCAGACGGGCTGGTCTGAGTATTTCACAATCTCCGTTACTGGGATTTTCATGCACAACCATTTCTAGGGTTTACAAAGAATGGTGTGAAAGGGAAAAACATCCAGTATGTGGCAGTCCTGTGGGCGAAAATGCC